AGGTCTTATTTAGTGTAGGTTTCAATATAAATCTAATAGAAAATAGATACTTTGTTGACAAAATGTATGTATGTACTAATAAAGTCCGTTAAAAAAAAAAAAAAAAAAAAAAATTAAGTTCGTTCCTGTAAAACTGTTTTGGGTTCTATCAAGAAAAAACTTATGATAACGAATTGATAACCTCAGAGTTTAAATTATTTTCTTCGACTTCTGAAACAAATTGTTTTTATGTAATGCAGACGATAATCTAAAAAATTTCTTAATAGAAAGAAATCATAAGCAAGTTGAGTCATAATATAATTTCTTTGCTAATGCATTGCGTCGCGATACGTAAAAAAGATAAAAAGAAAAAATAACTTGAGCGAATTCATCTCTTTGATTAGTGAAATTATAGTGTAATACAAGATTTCACCAAGTAACAAGTTTAAAACGTAATCAAAAGATTCGTTATACGACAGAATTTTAATCAACAATTTACATTTTATGTAAAATGAGAGTTTCAAAAAGCACTTTTACAGAAATTTCAATAAGAGAACGTGGATAAGATATGCAATCGAAGTTGTGTAACAATTGATTTTTTTATATGATAAATCCAGACTAATCTATAAATAAAAAGAAAATATTTTGGCACGTTTGGCTTTCTTGCATGTTACTATATTGACAGGTGTTACACATAATCGGTCATTTTTAATAACTTTAAAACAAATTTTCACTTGAAAGTTCAAAAAAAATTCTTGTCCAAAAACAGGTTTTTTTTATATAAAGGAAATTTCATAATATTGGAAAACGTAAAGTTGATCATAACGCCACGATAAACTGCAACAAGACGTTCACGTGGTTTTAGTCATATATGTGGCTCAGAATGTTTAGACTGACTGAATAAATTATTTTTTTATGAAAATGTAAATAAATGAACGAAAGTGTAAAAGTGTATGAAAAAAAAAAAAATGGTAGTGACGTTAATTATCCATATTAATAATGACGCGTAGAAATTATAAATGCGCGTAAATTAAAAAGGACATGACACAATTTCTCACTCATAAATCATAAAGTTATGTAACATACGTCGTACGTATGTATCAAGAAACAAGAGGAAACAAGAGGAAACATGAGGAGACGAGGAGACACGAGTAAAACATGAGGAAACAATAAAAGTTAATTAAATATGCAAATTTTAATAATTTAGAAATTTTTTACGCGTTACTTTTTTAATGTGATTTAGAAATGATTCGTGATAAAATTTCATGATTTTGATTAATTATTAAAATGTTGACATGTTGGACATGTTGACAGCCCATACAACCCATACAACCCATACAAACCATACAACATACAACCCATGCAACCAACCCATGGTGAAATTAATGAAATTTCATAAAATTTATTTATACATACCTTTAGTCCTTTAAAAAAATCAAAAGTAGATTTTTAATTGGATAATCTCTATAAAAATTCTTATAATTATTATGAATCGTAATCATTAAATTTTTTTGTAATAATAAATGGATCTTAAATAATTTTTTCGCGTACTTTTTTTCTCTATAAAAACCGATTACTGCGCATTACTGCGTCTAAGATAACTAGTATTGTTTTGCAATACCTAAAGTTACTTGTGTACTATATAAAATCACCAATTATTTTTTTATCCGAATCTTTCAATCTTTAAATTAACACAAATAAAGATTTTAATGTGCAAATAGCAGATTTACCAGGATATTCCTGCCAAAATATTTGGACAATAGTTATTGGACTTAAGTAATATAATTTTTATACCTTTTTAGGAATGAATATTTGACGATAAGGGGTAAATTTGTTTTGGTTACAATGCAGGAAAACCTTAGAAAGACTTATTTATCGCGTCAATAATTCTTTTTTGAAAGAAATATCGACAAATAACCTTTTCAAATTAATAATTATTATTGTAGGCTAAATTTGTATTCATTTTATGTAAAAAAAAAATTATTATTCATTTTTCCTTTGAAATTTGGTTCGCTTTTTTTTATTTTTTTTTTAATCATCGAATATTAGTTGCAGAATTTACAAATCCTTTTTCTATATGAACCGATCAGGAATTTCAATAAATCTTGGTTTGATTTGATTATTTAATGAAATAAAAAAAAAAATCATTTTCAAACATTTTCAGATTATCTTTTTTATAAATAGATATTTAAAAAATATTTTATTTTATTTATTAATCTTTATTTACTTTTGAATATTTTAAAAGAAACAAATTTGGTTCACAATTAATAACAAATTTTAAACCAAGAAAAAAAAGAAAAAAAAAAAAAATCTCTTTTCTTTTGGGACGTCAATCTTACAAAATAGTTAATATTTATTTATAGATGGTAAAAAATATGCAGCGTGTTTCAATATTATTCGTTTGTATCACGGATAGATGAAAAGTTCCCAGTTCATTTTTAAATATATGCAAGATCAAAAAAGAATCAAACATAACTAATACAGATATAGTACAAAAATTATATTTAGATGATTATTATTTTTATTTGCATATGAATAAGGAATTATTTTGAATAAGGGTACCGAATATTGTTAAATTACAATTGAAAAATTTTCAAAGGGATTTTTTTTTTTCCCTGTCCTATTTTTTAAAAAAAATATTAATCTTAAAAAGGACAAGTTAATTTCCATATTTAAACATTGATTTACATTTTGTTTGTTGATTTCAAAAAAATCCCCTAAAAAACTCATTTTATTTGCCACATTTGCCACTTTTAAATTGTATTTATCCTTAAAAAAGCATGTCCCGATCCTTGTTGTTTTCCTTTTTCTTTTTTAATTTAAGCAAAAAAAAAAAATTTTTTTTTTTAACAATAGATGATGATTTGAATGGACAACAGGAACAAAACCTATTCAAACAATAAAAAGGTAAATCTCGGCTCCATGAATTTTTTTTTTTTTTTTTTTTTTTTTTTATTTTTTTTCAAATATAATATTTTATATAACTATTATGTTATTGCTTACTTTAAAAATTACTAACCAATTTATCATTTAAAAATTATTTCTTTCAAACAAACACTATTATATATATAATACTTATAATAATACCGAATGTGTTGAATGTTTATGTATGTAAGTAAATGTAAACTTTCTACTTGCCCGATTTAATGCCAGAAGAGATAACAGGGGGTGATTTTCACGGGCTTTAAGGGTTGATGTTTATAGTTTTACTATGAACGATTATTACAGAACCCGTGAAATTCACACCCGTTATTTTTTACCGATATTTATTTGTTACTATTATACTTTTACTTTATTCAAACTGTCAATTATTTAGAGTAAGGATCTCCTTCAATTCTGTTTTTTTTTTTT